AATCCTCAACCACAAAAAACACCTAACCCCCGTGTTCTATAAAATTTCCCCCCCCCCCCCCCCCCCACTTTTTTTCTTTCGCCACATCCCTGCCCTAAGGCTCTATTAGAGTCGTATCAAATAAGGGACATAGCTATAACTTCACTTCTTGGCAAGTGCGAGCAAATGTCTATATAGACATTTGCTCACACTTGCCAAGAAGTGAAGTTATAGCTATATCCCTTATTTGATACGGCTCTATTATAACATGTTTTCACATTTTTCAACACCTATTTTTTCTTTTCCTTTCAAAGAATTCGACAGAAAAGAAAAAAAGAAGCACACAGTATCTTTCAGGCAAAAAAATACGTGGAGAATTAAACATTAACTCAACAACGCCTTATGACCAACTGATTGAAAAGTAGATGAAGTCAAGGCTTCAAATATCTTTTTCTGTTCATAAAATTAAATCCTATAAAAGCATCGAAACTTCTCTATAAATAACTCATTCGTTAACAGTCAGTTCACTAGCAAACGAAATCATGAATGATCGTATTTGTTTAATCGCACTAGCGTTGACTCTATTTATCACTGCATCAAATGGATCTCCTACCGTTCGAGTGAGTGTGAAAAGTGAGTATGAAAACTATTGTTAGACATACATGCAGACTTCATCATTCGGATTATGCCTGGATATTTGAAATCTCTTAATTTTAATTCAGTTGTTTCCACTTTCCAGCAATTAACAAACTTTGTGGAACAACAATCACATTAGGTTAGTAGACGTTAGAAACTGCCATGGTATGTATTCAACATTTTTCATTGTGTTTCGCATCTGTTTAGATGGAGATAAAATGCCGGGTGAATCATATGCATTTACATCAAAGAAATATAAAGACAATGAAGCTTGTACTTTAACAATAAAAGGACCAACAATTAGTCAAAGAATAATTGTTTCAATAGGAAAGATGGATATTGCTCCAGATGGGAACTGCGGTGATTCCCTCAAAATTTATGATGGAAAAGTTGGTGGTACTTTGTTGAATAGTGTTGCAACGGAACAGTGTGGTAAAAAAGACTTTTATGTTAGAGTAAGCAATTTAGTTTTATTTTATCCAACTTCTATCAGAAACAGTGGAAAGTAACTTTTATTCTGTATTTCTGTAGTCGAACTCGAATACTGCTGTCATTGTATTCTCAAGTAATAATGATGGAAAACAGGGTACTGGATTCACGGCAACAGTTGCAATTGACTTTCGTGAGTACACACATCTTTTTTCTTTCGTTTTGCAGATAGATATACGCCTTCTATTTTATTTAGCTGTAGCAAGCTGTGCTAGAGAAGTTGGATTTTATAGATGTAAAAATAATTATTGTATATCAAGCAAATTTGAGTGTTCATCAAAAAATTATTGTGGTGATAATAGTCAAAAACTGACATGCAGCAGAAAATAAAACTGTTAAATAATAAACTGTCGTTTGAACTTTCACAGGCATATATGGTGTACATATGCATTTCGTAGCTTCTATATCGATGTTTTCTTTTCTATTGATGTGTGTTTGATAAAGGAAACCGTCAAAAATAAGTCTGATATAGATGAATATCCTTATCTTTCTCTGGTTTTACTGAACGCGTAGAACATATGTTGATTTTCATTAGAGCTGTATCGAATAAGGGATATCTATATATTTTCACTTTTTTTCAAATGTTAGTAAATGTCTATAGAGAGGGTTCTTCTATATCTTGTTTTTCTTTCTATATGATAAAGATATTTCTTCGTTTTCAAATTATCAGAGAAAAGGATAAACTAAACAGAACGGACAAGGTTTCGTTTTATTGTGTTAGTATACGTTATATACATTGTATAGCGTTATATATGAGTGATTTGCAAATTTATTATACCGTTAGGAGAAAAAACAGAATGAAAAAAAATTTCGAATGTAACTGAACCGTACATTTCGTTGTATTATATCAGAGGAGAACAAGAAAAAAAGTTCCGAATTGCCAAAATCAAAATGACTGAGATACGAGAGGTTTTCGAAATACTTCAGAAATCTCCGAGGTTATGCGTGGAAAAGCTTTTTTCTATTACACAAGGGTATAAGTATGATATACCGTTTGATAGATCTCGATGAGACGGACGCAATGGTGTGTATCGCACCCTTTTTTTGACGAATCTGCTTCCGCTTGCAGCTGAAAAACTTGGATTTTCTTTATATATAATAATTCATAAATTACTGCTACAATTGTTTACGAATTTGACAATTAAGTTAAAAAAGTTTGAACTTTTCTCTTCGTATTTTATTATATTGTTCGTTTCTTAACTACTACCGCTCAAGCAAGACATGGAAAACATAACTTAAGTTTTGATTTTGCAGTTAGATGGAGAAGAGCAGTCTTTTCTGATCAAAACGAAACAAACCCGACCGACAAAGCCTTTACTCCGATGGAGTTATACGACTTTTACTTAAATCACTACTATATCCAAAATTTAAAAAGTTAATGAAAAAATGCATGACCACCGACAGAAAAACTATTATTTCATCGTAGCTTTTGATATGAAAGATTTTGAAGCGTAGCTAAAAGATAGAACGAAGTCAGGGCTACAAAATGTCTAATTCAGTTTTTCTTACTTTCAAAACGCGTTTTTGATTTTAGAAGATTTTCATTTTTTTCGACTTTCATTTAATTGGTTTAGTTTTCTTGATTGAAGTTGTGAAATTATAGTTTAGATATGATTTTGTAAAGTTTTTCAAGGAGCACCGTTTGCAAAAAGAAGTGGCTCAAATCGATAGAAGAAAAAGGAAGAAAGACAAAAATACCAAGAGGACGCGTTAATGTTGTATTACTTTAAGAATCTGCCAGATAGGTAGTTCGACATTTTATTGAGAATTTTTCTCTCCAAGACATGGTTCGCATGTTTATATTTTTTCACGATTTTATACCCCCGAGTCCTGTTTCTCATTCAAGATCTCTGCCAGGTCTTTCACATAGTCCATTCAGTCTCGGCATCGTTTTTAATCTCGCGTGACATTTTTCAATAATTCTCAGGTTTCTCGCGAACCGTAAGCTTTCAAACGCTGCTCTTTTCACAAGAAGTTGACCCCAATGAGTAGATGAAATGAGCCAAGTTTCGTCTCAAACGATCAACAAATAAGAGAGTTATAGATAAAACAAAACAAGTAATCTCCCATGACATTCAGCTTGACAATCGTTATTTTTAATTCTGTTGCAGATGTTTTTCTTACCAAGACAAAATGTACTTGGTTTTGTTTTTGTATCATTTTATGTTCCCGAGTGTTGGCTTTCATTCAGGACCTTCCTGAGCATTTTCACATTAACTGTTCAGTGTGGCCATCATTTTTAATCTCACGTGACAGAATCGTTTTGATTGTAAATGGATTTTTTATAAATAATGATCACGGTGCTAATCAGTCACATATTCTGGAACCCCAGACTGTTTGCTATAGTTGATAGAATCACTGCGTGCCAATAATGAAAAATAAATTAGATAAGAAGCATTTCTTAACGACAGGTAGCGCTAAAAAGCGGGTTTTTTGACCTTGTGCGCCCAATATCTCAAGATCCCATTGATATAAAGTCATTATTTTTTCCGTGGTAGTGATGACAAATTAGGGAAACAAAATAATAATAAAATAATGAAGATCGGTCAATAGGATCCGAAGAGTTCTTTTATTTACATTTTAGATTCAAACGGTATAATAAAATTGCAATTGGCTCATCTATAGTTAGATGTAGAAATTAAACATGTGAATATGTGTGATTTGTATTCGGAGTGTGTGGATAACTGTAGTGCTATCTATGATTCATAACTCAGCTAGTTGTTTGTCGAAAATCAAATAATCCTTTTTACTGTTAGCTTTGCGAGATTTACCTCTAGTCAAACTGGTAAAAAAATTCGAAAATATTCTAGAAAAATACTGTCAAAAAACCGCCAAATGGAGAAATATCGTTTTTCGTGCAAAGAACGCCAAAGCACATATACGTCATCACTGGCCACGGCATACCTCCTTTGACAATTGCGAGCAAGAGAATCATATCCTTTAGATACTATTAAATAAAACAAAGAAAAGTACATGTCTGACCTATATCATTTGGTTCAAAATTTATTTGTCTTGATCATTCGCTACTACACAAATATCTTGCAAAATCGACCATTTCTTCGTTGATTTTTCTGTGTATTCCAAAGTCTCTGCTATATAGACGATTACTCTTACAATGGTCAATGATCAACTCATTCTGAAAAGCGAAATTAGTTACCCCGGTCCAAGGATCAGATAACAAGACCTTGGAATATCTGACAAGGTGATGTAAGGTCTTAGAGGATCAAATGATAAGAAATTACAAGATTTCAAAAGATCCCATAAATTCGTAGCAATTTCCTACAAGATCTTACAAAAATTCATTTGTCATCTTGTAGCAAGATTCTTATAAGATTTTACAAGATTTTTCTTATGATAGAAATGTAGAATATCTATTATGATCTTATAAGACCTTGCAGAAAACAGCTGTAAGAAATTATACGACCTTATAAGAAGCCACAAGATTTATATGCCTTATAAGATCATAAGCTTGATCATTTCCTGCCGAAACCCTCTACACCTCTGCAATTTTCTTTTTCTATATAATTTCTAATATTCATAGGTCATATGAGATTTTGTCACGCCTTATACTGAGTTCTCGAAAAAAAAAAAAAGAAGTTAGAAAATTCCATAAGATCTTCCATTATCATATAACAAGATCTTGTAAGATCTTATTACAGGATTTCACAAGAAAACATCGGATCTTGTAAGATCTTACAAAACGTGGTTCACCTGGGTATGCAGTTTTATCCGGGCTGAATCAGAATTTGCATTAACTCCGAAAAAACTGAAAATTACTTTTCACAAAACGTTTTTTTCTTCTATTTTGCTTCTTACTGATTCAAAATTATTATCAGTGCTTTCAGGGTTGGCTCAGGTAACCACATGAAGCTGAAGACTTATGATCTTGTAAGTTATGTACACTTGTACTATAGTACAAGTGTAAAAAAATTTAATATGTATACTAAATTTTTTCTCAGAGTTTAGATATATTGTTGTTTTAAATAACCAGTATAAGCTTCACGTATCTACGCACAAAAAGATTATTAGAAACGGCAAAAAAACGCGAAAAAAAATAACTCGAAACTCCTGTTTCCACACATTTTCTATGGGATTCAACGCGTTTAACGTTTGTGTCATTTTCCGTTCTCACACGTTTCTATTCTGTATCTAAATAATGCAAATCTTGGATTTAGTAGGCGTTAGAAAACCTTCTGTAAAAAGTTAAAGGTAAGAAGAACCAACTTAGACCTTAGGCCAGAAAATGTGCGCGAGTCAGGACTTTATGTTAATAGTATGTTGATCTTCAAAACGTGTATGTATCTGCCCGAAAGATTTTAGACTTGAAAAAAACCATCGTATATGTTATTGATCGTTTTAGTCTTAAAATTGACTTTTCTCATTTTCATTATGTCTTTTTGTAAAAATAAGAAGCTATTCTTGATCCTTGCACAAAGCAGAGTCGAATGGTATATTATACAAATATAGAAAAAGAAAATAACAATCATTCATGGACTTTCTGTATAAAAAGTTCATAAACAATTTTGTAAACCTATCTAGCTTTTCTTTGAAGAAATGAAGCCAATTTTTGCACTTCATTAGACATCTAACAAAGATGGGAAATGTAAGAAAATGTATTTACAATTTCTTACATTTTCTTACATTTTACAATCTTTCTCAGCTGACCAGAAGAAAATTTTCTTCTGGTCAGCTGAGAAAGATTGTA